ACACACACCTTCCAATTCCCCAGAAGTCACACGGCAGATTTTGCTGATTGCTGTCCCTATTTTTTGTAAGTTAAACTTGCAACTGATGGCAACCAAAGGCCAAGAATTGACCCTTCGCTAATCCCGCCACCCGAGCGGCACCCGATTGGCCAATCACAGCCCAGCATCGGCCAGCTCCGACCAGGGTTCGACAACCATTTGGTTCTGCTCCGTAGACTCTCATCAAGGTTTCAGACTTTCTTCATTTTCAGGCTGGTTTAGTGGATTTGGAGCTAGTCATGGTTAAACGTTGTGTGTTTTATACCTGGGCCTTCAGTGCTGCAGATTTTTTTTTAAATGGTTGCCAATGGCAACGTAAATTTTCCACAGCAGCTGCTGTTCTGAAATGTGCCCACTGTTGTCTTTAGTGTAGTTTAGTCGTTGAGATGTTTTTGTGTCTTAAGATTATTCTATTTTGCACACCTACACACACACTCCCATTTAAATGCGCACGGACACACAGCGATTAGACCTGTGCCATTAAGGGGGGGGGGGTGTGAACTCGGCAAGCAGGCTATGACACAATAGTTTCTCCTCAAGACCACTGTTTATTTTTCAGCATGTCCATCGGGTGTGCTCACAAGAAACCCTTTCATTGCTGCGGAACAGCACTCTGTGTGTGTGTGTGTGTGTGCACGTGTGTGTGTGAGTCAGTGTGAGATTACCCGTTTGCTTTACTTTAGATAGCAGGATATGTAGGTGTGTGTGTAAATACGGAGACTATCTGAGCGCCTTACACAGAGGAAGGTGCTGTTTGTATGTGTGTGTGTAAAGGAGAAAGTGAGTGTTAATGAAAAGCATGTTACAGGTCTGTGGTTTCCAGTCGGGACTGAGCACATAGTCACACATTCCCTCACACCACCAAGACCGCATGCCACTACACACACACATACACACACACACACACACACACACACACAAGGATGAATGGTCTCTATTAAACCACCAACTGTACACATGCCACATGTTTTAGGTCTATTTGGATTTGATTATTCACTCATTTACTGCACAGTTCTGGAGCGGACCGGTGACTGTAATGTTGAAAGTGCGTCGGTAATGTGACGATAGATGGAGCCTCTGAGGCTGGTGTTAGCAACCCAATCTGTTGCAGAGGGAGCTTTAGTGTTGAATTCTGCCAGTGTAGCAGCTAGAGCTGTCATTGTTAAAAGAGCTTCTTTTTTTTTTTGGTGAGACATTTACAATCCATTGACGGGTGTTTCAGGGTATGAAATACTAAATGCTCATTTGAATAGTCACAGTGTCATAGTTAACGGCATATTATGCTTTTATTACCAAGTTGACAGAGGAGAGATGACAGGAAATTAGAGTAGAAAGAAAAGTGAGGAATGACACGCAGCAAAGGTCTCCAGCCGGATTGAAAGTAGTGATGTTGTGGTTCATGGTTGGCAGCTTAACCTCTAAGGGACCCCTTTCTATTAAAGTGTTTCTCAATGGTTGTGTTTCCTGGAAAAGGGCTACCTTACACAAGGTTTTAGCAACAAAATATTTTAAAGGGGAACTCCACCGATTTATTCACTTCAAAGTCTGTTTTCAGGTACAGCATCTTGAAAAAAGTTTTACAATATCTTACGTGTCTGCTTAAAGTGAGGTCAATTCACCATCAGTTGGAGCTGAAGACTACAACTTTGAAAATTAACTTAAGTCTGAGGGTGTGAGCTTAACAGTCCTCTGTAACCCGCTCTCCATCTACACTTGAGGCTAGCTGCTCGTGGCTACATTAGCCTCTACTAGCATAACCGTAGACTGCAAGAAGTGGACGTAGTCGTCTCGACGTCACCCATTGGTTTGTGGATTGCAGTTTCTTGAGGTCGGCATTTTGGCCGTCACCATTTTTTCTTTTTTTTTTTGCAACGAGTGAGGTGACCATATTTGGACTGCGGATGAGCTGTCAACACAGTAAGCCCGCCCTAAAGCATACCCTGCTTTATGGTCTGTTTGACTCTAAATGGACCATAATTTACAAAATGAACATCATGCTGTATTGAAGAAGACTTGAAACTTTGAAAATTGAGACCATAAGCTCATGTTTACTGAGGTAATAAATCAAGAGGAGTCCTGTTCGGTTACTGCTGATGAAAATCCAACATTTCCTGATTTTTTTTCTGCTTCAAAATAAAACCTTTTAAAAAACAAAATTACGGGGACACTTTTATTGTGAAGAATTTCTAGTAAATGAAATGTGTCTGACTTTTTTCCAGCCACATCTTTGACCACGTGATATATCCGATCACTACCCGATCAGGCTGGTCGCATTGACATGTGAAGTGTGGACACTGCTGAGTTCTGATCTGACGTCTCTGATCACAAAAGTGGCCTTGAAAAGACGAGCGTAACTGTGGCCTTAGTTGAATTTCAAAGCCCAAGACTCCATGTTTTTGTATTATATATATTTATAGGGCCATATAGCTGTGTTTAGCATTCCTTTGGATACAGTTTCCTCAAATCCAACCTGATATATTTGGTATGTCTGGAAATAATGGTATCTCTGCTACTACGTTCAATGACTGGCCCGTGCTTGTGACTTAATATCTTACTCAGAACAGTAGTGTCTTAGGTTAGGTGTGAAGACGTCATTCGTAGTGGTATGTACTGTACATATATTAAGTGGGTTTGCTGATGTCAGTGAAAGTTTGAGTGGCATCAATCTTGACACAGCAAAAACTTTCTAGCTTTTTCTCAATATGTCTCTCGCTCTCTTTCTCCCAGCCCTCCCGATTAACATACTCGGGTACATAGGTTTCATTTGAACTTTGGGGTGAGGGGACACATACCGTGGGGGGGTGGGGGGGTCTGTGTGTCTTCCCCTGGATATTTTGAGTGTCAAACACTTCATTTCCTGCATTCCTGTGCATTGTTATGGTCCAACTTTTGGCGTACATTTTTTATTTTTTTTTATGTAAAGGAAAACACTAAATTCAGACGACAATAAAATATAATGCAGTAAGGCTCAGGCATTCTGCATCGCTTTGAAATAATAGTAGTAGCGATAACTTGAATTTATCTATAAACCATAAAAGTCATAATATAAATAATAATCTGTTGTCTATGTGTTGTGATTAACAGCTAGTTATTTGTGTCTTTGCAGAGATACTGCAGTCAGACAGACCCAACCTGAGGAGGACACAGAGTGAGGAGACTCCCGGTACAGCTGGATCTCATAGCAGGTCAGGGTGCACACACACACACACACACACACACACACACACACACACACACACAC